GTGGTGATGAAGATAGTAGTTCTAATTGTGTTTAAAATTGAGAAGTGAAAATGCTGATTGTAATAAACAATAAAAAAACAATACTTTTTGTTTAATGTAAGGATTAAAAATCCAAAGAAAAAACTAAAAAAAAAAATAAAATACAAGATTGAGTTAGATGAACTTTAACTCAATTGTAAATAAAATCCAATCTAATTTATTTAGATTGAATGGGAATCACATATTATAATAATTATTTATATATAAATAATAATAATAATAATACATTATTGATACGAACAATAATAAAAAAAAATCATAATTGGAAGAATATTAAAATAAACAGTTTTTTTCAGAATTCATTAATACAAAAAAAAATTCTTTGCTAAAAAAGCAACTATTCAACTTAGAAGAACATTTTAAATGATAAACCATAATTGAAATTAACCCCTAGTGCCTTTAAAATCTTTATTAACATCTGAAAAAAAAATGACCTTACTTTGACATATTATATTTTCTAAAGAATATTAGATATTAACTGACATGTGTTCTTAAACAACCCTCTGTTCGCAATTCCCAATAAAAAATATAATTTTACTTCATAATTATCTTCTTAATTCACAGAAGTCAAGTAATTGTTTTGGGTTGAGATTCTTGTTTTCACCACATGAAGGAACAATTGTTATTGGATTGAGTAAATTAATTAGAAGTTCATATTCTCAACTATTTTCCAATAATGGTGGCCATGTTTTAATTTCTAAATATCTCTAAAAAGTTGTATGTCTGCCTCATGTTTCACATGATTAATTATTCCAAAAGACATAATTTAGTTGTTTTTGTACGGAGAAAGCTTGTCTACAGTTATACAGGTATTTTTTAATATTATTTCTTTAAATAATCGATGAATATAAGATCATTCAAGTTATTAATTTAAAATATTATGAATTTCCTCGATAAATGTTGTAGTTGTTGATAAAGGATACTTTATTTAATTATATTTGTTGTTTGTTTTCTCCAAATTAACTTGAGTAGTTTGCAGATAACATATAAGAATTTGTAAGTGTGGGATGATAAATCTCTCTAGTATTTATGTTAAATTAAACCTATTATTAAGATCTTTATTGATTTTTAGAAGGATTTAACTTAGTCTTACTCTCCTAATTTAATATTTAAGTTCCTCCTCTTTATGGGTCTAATAATTAGTTGGAAAACAAATCTACTATGTAAACAAATTAAAACCCAAATTTATCTAATCTTAGTTCCGAAAACTTTCCAAGAACTTAGACTACTCAGTATTGTCAGGTGCTTTATATAATTTAAATAAAAAATATAAAAATTAATAGATAACAAAATTTGAAAACAAATATAAAAAGGAAATTATTTTTATATCATAAAATATATTCTTTAAATCTATCATTTAATTAACCTAATAATAAAATTATATTTTGATTGCTAAAAAAATGTAGAAGGTGTTAAAAAATAATTGTGTTTGTTCCTAGGCTTTCTCAGCCAACTTAATTATAATTATAAATCTCCCACTAACCAAAGTGAGTACGACACACCTCTCTACTTACTGTTGTAGTACAATTACTTTCTCTCTCTCTCTCATGGCGAGCTTACTAAGCTCATCACCCATAGAAGCAATCATGGACGACCCTGATTTCCTCGACTTCTCCAAACCCAGCATCACCACCAGCTCTTCCTCCGAGGAAGACTGGATCAACCTTTGGTCCCCTCTCGTCGACTGGGGATCCCTCGCCGCCGGCGAAGACAATTTTCAAACCCTCATTGACTCCATCGCCCATGAAGACGACGTCGTTTCGACCCCTGATCAAACCATAGCCCAAGACTCCGACTTAAGTAGCCACGACGAGAAGGGCCTCCGCCTGGTGCACCTCCTCATGGCGGCGGCGGAGGCCCTCACCCCCGGCACCGAGAGCCACCACCTGGCTCGAGTGATATTGGTTCGGCTCAACGAGTTGGTGTCCACCACTCACGGCACCAACATCGAAAGACTCGCGGCGCACTTTAGCAGCGCGCTGCAAAATCTGCTAGATGGCGCCGGGAGTGCGCACAGCATAACCACCGACACCCCCAATCCCACGGACACGCTCACCGCGTTCCACCTTCTCCAGGACATGTCTCCTTACGTCAAGTTCGCTCATTTCACCGCCAACCAGGCTATCTTAGAGGCCGTAGCCCATGAAAAACGGGTCCACATCGTCGACTTCGACGTGACCGAAGGAGCCCAATGGGCATCCCTAATGCAGTCCCTCTCTTCAAGAAGCACCGGCCCACCTGCCCCACACCTCCGCATTACCGCATTGTCCAGAGGCTCCGCCCCTGGACGGAGATCCATCGCCACCATTCAGGAAACCGGACGGAGGCTAACGGCGTTCGCGGCATCCGTGGGGCAACCGTTTTCTTTTCACCAATGTCGGTTGGACCCTGGCGAAACGTTTCGACCTTCGTCACTGAAACTGATTCGCGGCGAGGCCTTGGTCTTTAACTGCATGCTGCACTTGCCGCACCTGAGCTTCCGAGCCTCAGGTTCCGTTGCTTCGTTTCTGAAAGGTGCGAAGGAGTTGAACCCGAGGGTTGTAATGGTGGTAGAGGAAGAGGTGGCGCGCGGTGGAGATGCCGGCTTTGTGGGCTTGTTTATGGATTCGCTGCAGCACTACTCGGCGGTGTTTGATTCTCTGGAGGTTGGGTTTCCCATGCAGAAATGGTCCCAGGCTTTGGTGGAGCGCGTGTTTTTGGGCCCAAGAATAGCAAATTCTGTGAGCCTTATGTACCGGAGTGGAGGAGAGGACAGAGGATCGTGGGAGGAGTGGTTGGGTGCGGCGGGGTTCAGGGGAGTTCCCGTAAGCTTCGCTAATCACTGCCAAGCGAATCTGTTATTAGGACTGTTTAACGATGGATATAGAGTAGAGGAGATGGGGAACAATAAATTGGTGTTGGGTTGGAAATCACGCCGTTTGATATCAGCCTCTGTTTGGACTTCAAACTCTTGATTTCAGCCTCTGTTTGCTCTGTGTTGTGTCTCATCCTAAGAATAAAAGGGACTTTCTCTATTCCTTGTCAATCCCTTTTTAATGAAATAACCTCGTTGTTTTATTGGTTGACTTGAAAATGATTGAAAGAGTTTCAATACAGTTCATGGGAATAATTTATAATTCTTGTAATTTTTTTATTTTAATGAATTTATATTTAATTTATCACTCACTTCTCTTTTTATTATAATTATTTGATTTAAACATACTTTTAATTAATGTAAACTAAGTGAATTTTAATTATCATTACAAATTCTTTATTTTAATATCTTAAAATTAAAAGAATATTCTAATACGATGTGATACTCGTTATATAATTCCAAATAGTGCTTAAGTAATATGATATAATATTATTTGTAACAATTTAAAAGAATGAAAATTTGTTAATTAAACATTTTATAAATCAAATCCTTGTGACTATTGAATGAAGATCAAGTCATAATTCGAAATAGTGTTTATTAGTAATATGATATAATATTATTTGTAACAATTTAAAAGAATTAAAATATGTGAATTAAACATTTTATAGATCAAGTCCATTGCTTCAAGCTTTCTTATTGAGCTACTCGTCTTCTATAATTTGTCTTTAAAGCAAGATTCATGCTTTTAGTTTTTTTTTTCATCTTCTTGTGATACTTAGTTAATGTAGAATAAGGATGTTTCTAGTTCTTTTAGAAACATTTTTTTACGTTATTCTCTTTAAACAATGTATTGTATTCTCCATTTCAAAAGTAGATTAGGAAAAACTTTATCATTAGTATCATAATTGTAATAAACAATTATAAGAGGTCTTAAACTATTTAATAAGGTTTATAGTCGGGTAATCATAGATTGAACAAACCCATTTTCTTTTATTGTAAATATTTCATGATGATGTCTTAATAAAATTAGTTTATTTCGTCTTAACTCTTTCAAATCCTCATGTGCTAAAGTCAAAGTGTCCTACATTTCTTTGGTTGATGACATTACATGTACTTCTATATTTCTTCTTTGGATAGGGCATAAAATAGAATATGTTTTAGTTTAACATTTAATTGATATATGTATCTCTAATAATCGTCTATGTAGTAGTTATCTCCCTTGCCATCTAATAATGAATGATGCCTTTTCTAATTATACATAGTAGATCGATATTTACTATTTCAAGATAAGCTAGCATTTTTAGTTTTCATAAGTCAGTTTTCTCCATTGAACAAAAGTGGGCAATTTGTTACTTGACCGTCTCCTTCCATTAAGTCTAATAGTTCAATCCTCTCTTCCTAGTTAAGCCTAGAGGCAAACTCTAGTACCACTTGTTGGTTCATATGGCTTTAAAAATGAGGGATTAATTAGAGCCTAGACTCTTTTTTTTTTTTGTGTGTGAATTAATCTGAAATGAAACGGTAAATAGATCAAGAATAAAAAGGACTTTTATACGGGTTCACCTTAACTTTTAGGTACGTCTATTTTTTCTCTCAAGCACACTACTTAATAGGACTCATTAGTAACTATTCGTTATTATTCCAAGAGAATGGATAGTTGTATAGTTTTGTTCCTTGGATAGAAAAATGAAATCTGATTTGAAATCCCTATTACAACAAAAGTGTTACTTTTTTCATCTCAAGTACTCAGTTTAGATTGATACTAACCTACAATTTCAATTTAATTAGAGGTGAGGGTAAGCCCAAATCACAACAAATTCAAGTAATATATTCAAAGGTTAGAACTCTTTCATCTTAAAGTTATTAATTTTGGCATGTCAATTATGACAATATGTGATTATTTTCTTTATCATGTTTAGTGTAACAAACAACTAGATTCATGGGCACGTGGCTATTACGTCATGTCTAGAATAAAAACTATTGTTTGAGTAGGAATTAGAGATGATTGGACTATTATAATAATATATACATACACACACATATACCTTTCACATATTAGAAATCACATCAAACTTTAAACATTAGTATCCATACATAATGAAGTGGTGTTATGTTTTCAAAGGTTCAAGAATCCATTACCTATAACAAATGACACAATGTAAAATATAAGATAGGAGTGAGCAGTGTATATACTGGAACGATGAAGTTAGGACCCACTATAACATTAGTTACTTTGCTTGAAAACTATCTAGGAGCACATCTTTGTTTAGAAAGTTTTAGTTTTCTCTTAATAGGTTTAGTTTTAATAATTTTAGTGTTAATAGTTACATTTTGTGTTAGTAGTTTTAGTTTTAATATATAATTTGTGTTGGAAATTTTTTTGAGTTGTGTTGGATTTTCTTATGAGCTTTTCAGGTTTTGGTAAATTGCATATATAAACAAAATATTTTAAAAAAGGTGGCATTTGACACTTGTTTGTTCATTAACCGATGTTAAAGGATGTTGGCTATGATATAGTCCTTTGAAGTCTATTAATGCAAAAACAAATGCAATTTCTGACCAACTTTAAAATGAAATGGTTCCAATTGGACGTTGGTATGATGTAGCAACCATCGTTAAGGGACATTGGTTAAGCCAGGGATCAATGTCCTTGGACGTTAGTTTCCAACTTCAACGTCAATTTAATGTCACTGGTTATAATGTTGGAGATTTCAGTAACATCAAAAATCGAAAATGACAAACATCAAAAGTCATTTTTTTATTGGTTCAATTCAAATTCTTTGTACTCCTACCTCTTTGATATTTATCTATGCTTTTATTCAATAATTTATGGTTTGATTTTATTGTTAATGATGAATTGACAAATCATCTATTTAACTAGTTTAGATTGAGTTGAAAAACTGGTCTCAAACTATAATCCAATCAAATCACCTCAATTTTGCTAGATGATGACTTAAGTTCAGCCATATGACCTTTCCCTAGAAGTATGACCAGGAAGATACAAGAAGGCTGGGAAAAATCTAAGGTCAGTGGGCCTAAGATGATGATGACATGGACCAAGGAAGACATAAAGATTTAGAATAGGTTTTCGTTAGGCTCTATATTTAGGCCCAATAGAATAGGCTTTCAATTTGGGCCATATATTTTTAGGCCTTGTTTTAAATAAATGTGCTTGTAGTTGGGCCTGGATCATGAGAGATCATCTACGATTTTGATTGGGCTTCCATAGGTCTAATTAAAATCCTAGGATGTTCACCTTAAGCTAGGATAACTCTCACATTTAACATAATTTTCACATGTTGCAAAACATGGAAAATGTGAGTGCCACATGGAACACGATCCATCTTGTGTGGCGCAAGTTTAGGCCATGTTAGGGAATTCAAATCTGAATCTCCCTCCCTTTTTGTTCTTGAATTTAGACCCCTTTGTAAACTACACTTAAATGATATAGTGAATTTATGTCGAGATCACTCCAGAGCTTCTCTTCTTTGAGTGTCAACCTAGCTAGAGCTTCTCTTATAACCTCATCTAGCCTCATTCCTTTTGATTGCCTAACCTTTCTAGAGAACCTTTACCATACTTCACCTATATAACCAAACATCAAACTATTTCTCAAGTGCTTCCGTTAATCTTCACCCATCCAAGATTCCATTTTCCATTCATCAATGAATCTTGAAGTCATCAAGTGGTATTATGAGCAAGGTCAACCCAAAGGCTTCATGAGCTAAGTCTTGGTTTCTCTCATTTTAATTAATGTTGTTTCTTATTTTTCTTGCATGTCTTGAATGTTTCTACTTATTGAAATGAGTTCATATGTTTCAAATGCTGGTTCAATTCATTGTTCATCTTGAACCAATCAATAATTTGTGTTAGGCTTCCATATCTTGAAAAATTTTGTGTGCTTTGATTTGTATTTGAGTCTTGATCAATTTTGTTCATTGAATTCCTTTTTGATTTGATTTGATTTTCATTTTGAGATCCTTTCCATGGTGTTTATGTCATGTTTATACTTTACATGTCATGAATTCTTGGTTTTAATCAATTAATTTTTTTTAACCGATTCAAGTGCCCTTTAATCTTATAATTTGCAATTTGACTTGTTGGATTTGTGATTGAACATGTTAAAATCCATTTTCACTGATTTAATTAGCCTTTGTGTGCTTTTACTTTTCATAATTGTGTTCACGCTTGATACTTGATCATTATCAAGTTTATAGTATTAAGTTTTCTTTGTCTCTTGATTCAAGTTTCTTTGATTCTTTCTTGAATTCCTTAGGTTTCTTTCAATTGTTGAAATATATTGAGCTTGTCGAGTTGTTTCAATTCAATGTGCTGCAAAGTTTTAGTAGTGATTTAGTAGGAACAATTCAAAAGAAAATTACAACCTTTTGAAGAACCTCTTGAAGAAGAACAAGCTTTGCAAGATACAACTGAAACACCATTCAATCCTTCATCAACCACTACCTATCTACCTCAACAAACACCTTGCCCAATTGTAGAAGACCATGGCCCTGCCTTTCAATCAACTAGACCAACACAACTCTCAACTTCTCAACCTGGAACCAATCTTCTCAAACAACCACATCCAATCCTCAACTGTAAGACTCGAGAAAGTTCTAGTATTAGGAAATAACGTGGTTGTGAGACTTGAGGATTATTGTTTGGTAATTGGGTTTAATGTCTAGATGTTCTTAGAATGGTAATTTCCATGATAATTATTTGATGTTATTGTTAATATGCAACACATGATTGATATGTTATTAATTTGATGAATTATGTGTCTTCTCCCCTCTTTTCGCTCTCCCTAATCCATTGGGCCATGATGTACTTTCTCTCCTTCCCTTTTGATGTTTATAAAATAAGGGGGAGAATAGAGAAAGAGAGTAAACGTGTCAACATCTAGGAGCATGTATTCATGGGGAGTACACAAAAAGTTAGGATAGCACATAATAAGAGGGAGTCTCCAGATTCTTAGAAGTTCATCTTAGGAATCCATATTTACATTCCTGTAATATGTTTATGTGTTTAAATATATAATTTATTGTTTATTGTTGTGTTGTTTCTACATTTTGTTTTGTTATGCCTTAGTATATGTTTTTATCACGCTTTAAATTAATTATTTTTCTATATATTTCAACTAACCCACGTACAAAAGATAAAAACAAATAAAAGATGTAAAACATACAAAGAACCATAAACACAT